AATCTTATGTAAGCTACCAACTACCTTTGATTATTTAAGACCTTTCAATCTGACTAAGACTCTTCATGTCCATTTTTCCCATTTCACAACAGTTTAACAGTTTCTGAATAAAAACACCTCCATTGTACTAAGACACATTAGATCTTAAAACTAGATCCCTGGGAGCTCAGTTCATTGTTCAGGGACATGAGAGACTTAGTGTATGTTGCTGCTAACAAAGACATTTCTCCACATCCTGTGGCCACTCAGGAATACAACAATGAAATTCCCAGTGCCTTTAAAGCACATGTGACTGTTTTAAAAGGAATTGTAATACAGAAATTAAAACTCCCACCTTCAAGAGTCAAATGCATGACAAAAGCATTTGAAAGTGCATTATTGATGACTGAAAAAGCCCGACTGAAAATACATCAATGAAAGAACACACAGGCAACAGAGGACAGTTGACACTGGAGATTTATTTCATTTCACAGGTTCCAGTAAGCATTCAGTCAAAACGAACGTGTCTCTCTTTGTAGGTATGCAGGTTTCCTCGCTGTCCAGATTATAATTCATACATCTGCATGCTCATTCATTGATAATACCCTTGAAAGAGTATTTTATTTTTACTGGCAGTACCTTGTAAAAGCTCCCTGTGGAGCATCGTGACAAAAAGCAGTGAAGTGCGACAAAGTCCGGTAAAGTCATGGTAAAGGCACAGACAGCAAGGGTACAAGGTGGTACCCATCAATAGGCATATTTCCTTGTCACTTTACAACACTAACCCTTCAGAAGCACAAGATCTCAAACACAGTACATGTGCCAGATCCATTAAGTTCCTGGACTGCACTCACACAGGCACTAGCAGAAGAGACTTTTGCAGTGCACTTATTAAAGCACCAAAAGTTATCCTGGGACAGCAACGCACTCGCCTTCCACATGCTTGTTCATGTTTTATTACACATTGATCTTCACACGACTAGGCAAGAAGCGGCACTGAATTCCAAGAGCAAAGAGCAGAAAGCACAGGGCAGGTGTATGCAAATCGGAATTATATTAGTGTAGCTGAGGGGTACGAATGCCCTGATTTGGTACAATATGTACAGACCTGCTAAAAGATGGTTTTGGGTCTGTGATTGTGAGTGTAGAACTACCCTGTGAACAGAAATGAGAGAGAATGTCGTCCAGTTCAGAATCCCCACCCACTGGCCCGTGCATTGATGCTGGTGTGTACAGGGATAGTGCTGTATAAGAGAGTTGAGTTGATGCTATATTTGTTGCATCTGTGCTTTCAGAGCATGGACTTAATGTCTTCGACGGTCTCCAGAGATTGTCCAGTGGGACCTCAGAAATAAAGACAGTAAAGTACTGTAACACTTTCTCGTGAAGATGTGTGTTATCTACGTTCTCACACAGTGGCCTAGGTGAGCATCCTCTGCCTTAGATCAACAAGTGTTTCTATACATTCTGCCATATTCTGTAGCTCTTAATATTAAGCCCCTGATATTGGTTTGTTTCTAGTTGTTTTTCTAATCATATATATTCCTCCTCCTCACTCGGCCAGCTGTCCCGTCTCCCTTACATAATAAAATTCTTCCCACATTCCCCACACTTAGCCATGAGCATCACACAATATGAATTCCTGAGGTCCTGTTCTCGGCACTGAGTCTAAATGAACTTCTCCATACTTCCCTGCTTAGGGCTCCAACACAAGCCAATAACCGATTTTTCATGTTGCTTCACTTCGTTTTGCAAGAAAAAGGGGAAATATGGATAACTCTAATCTCTGTGAGGCTTAAAAATTGTCTCTGGTTTCCCAGCCTTGGTAAGGCTTTAGGCCATTAAGTGTTATGAACTTTGACCTCCTCGTAAAAAAAGGTATCTAAAGAAAGAAAGACAGATAGTTTCCATGAGGTGGAGGTTTAATATTTCTCGCTCAGAGAAGACAGTTGCTGTCCTGTTTTTCATGAAGTTACTCAGAGGCAACTAGACTTCCCAAACTTACTTCAGTCATGCACTACCAAAATGCTGTTGTAACGCCACCACAGGCAGGCAAAATAGTTTCAGCCCCAGCATCCAGTATTTTTTTATGTACTGTACTGTAACAAAACATTCAAGATGAAATCATTTCAGATGATATTCTTTCTGGTCCCTCAGTTATCATGGCCATTTGACAAAATAAAACAGGAACAGTCCTTTAACAGTTCATTCAGCCACACTCCCCACCCCTCCCGCACCTCTCTAGAGATTTGCAAATTCTTAAATTAGTTTATCAAATGCCAGATTAAATATTCAAAGAGCTATATTGTCATGACTGATGAATTGCAAAGTTGCCAAAGCAGCAAAAAGTAACAAAAGATTATCATAAATGTAGGAGTTTTAGTGACACTGATGGGGCACGGATCTCTGGAATTGGAGCTCCCGAAAAGTGTCTGTTTCCTGGTTATGTAGTCGGCTGACCAATCAGCACTGCCAGATATGTCACGGATGTCGGAGAGGCATGCCGTGGAATGGCCGGGAGAGCAAAAAAAAGACCCTATGCATAGCAGCCAAACGGGGGTTAGCCCGGGCTCAGGAGGTCAGACGATGTCGGGTAGAAAGCTATGGCCTCAGGGTGCGGAGGAGACGACCTGGTGCTAGGCGGGTCTCAAGACATCCGAACCCTCAATGCTGAGCGAGGGTGACCCGGAAATATATAGCCCCAAACAAAGACACACCGGAAGGACAAGAAAAGTAGAGGGAAACTAGGAGCAGGACAGAATAGGAGATGGGTCAAGATAGGTCAGCTGGTAACCTCCAAGGGCTTTTGGGGGATGTAGTATGTGGGAGATTGGCCTTTTTGCTCTAACTCTAGCCACCCTAGTGCTGAACAACACTACCATCATTTGTTTAATTTCTGGATTCATTTTGAAAAAGCAAGGGTGAAGGTTAGTTTCAGATCTCAGTTTCAGTTCCTCAATGGATTCACACAGTCTGCAGCACAGAGGTGTGCTTTGGGCCCGGCTTGTCCGCCGAGCCTGCCAGAGATCTCTCCCCCCCGGGGCAGCAGGGATGAGTGAGGCAGGGCAATGGTGATGAAGAGTAGAAAACTGTCAACTGTAAATACAAAGGATTAGTGGTCTTAATGGACCGCAGTACCAGTATGCCCCCTTTGAAACCCCACATTTAAGAGTTAGTGTAAACACCACCTGGTGTGCTCAAAACACAAGTGTCTTTTGAGGTCACCAGTTGCCCCTACCCTGAGTGCCGACCCCGTTCCCCTAGTTCAAACAACAGCACCATGACATCACCAGTAAACATGCTGTCAGGAAGCTCCCCTATTCCATGTGCCTTGTTACTGCAGTTGCTCTGGGGACCTGCAGAGTGGACATGTCCTTCTCTTCCAGGGTACTGGGCTACAAGAATAGACATCCTTGCCTTTCTGATACAGTGGGGGCTTCCCCCTGTTCTGGTAAAAGGTACTGTGGTGTGGAAAGTAGCATTCAGACTGGTGTGTCTGGACAGCCTGCGGCCACATGGCCAGATCCAGAAATCCAGGGCCCTGGGACGGGGGAAAACAGGAGTGAGAGGCTTGGGGGAGAAACAGAGAGGGGATCTATGCTGTCATTTCTCAGGATAAAGAATGCACAAAAGGGTGGTTCATGATGAGGTTTTGTTCTCTCACTTTTGAGGGAGCACTGTCTGAAGGGCAGGGAAGAAGTCAGTGTGAAGTGGGCTTGTGTTTTGGTTAAGTCTGGTATCTGGCCGTTTTTAGCAGCCAGTAGGCAGGGTGTGATTTAGATAAGATAAGAGTGAAGTGGAATAGCTGTCCTGTAGTTACACTGAGTTAATTCAACATTTACAGCAGCGCAAAACCACACTGAGCTGAGTATGTAAGACATTAAGAGCTCAAATCATTATTGGCAGCCCTGCATTCAAAAGGAATGTTCTATGTGAGCTGGCACGGCTTTCCCCACAAATTAATTAGAACTACTCATGAAATAAAAAGAGGCGAAAGTTCAGAATCTGGTTGGAATAAAACGTTTAATTCTTCAGCTCCCACTGACATCACCCTTACTTGCGGCGGAGCAGGCACAGACAGCAATGGCTAAGTAATGAAGATGGATGCATCCTGTTATCATGCAGCCATTTACTGAGGCTTGATGTAACCTTAAACATCGCAGATAGCTCGATGGCACTTGCCACAAAGAATCTAATTAATGAACAGCAGCCTGAAAGAAAACGAGCAGTGTGCATTTGCAGATGAATCCTGGGCACCAATTATACGCTGTTCAAATATCACGCAGACGCTGTTTGGTTTCCCTGATGGAGAGCACAGGAGCGGTGCTCTGAGAGTTTTCACAGGAGGTTTTCTTAGTTTTTTATTCCCCTCCTGTGCAACGTCATTCTGAGTCAAGGTGCACAGCAATGTGAGTCGGGAGGACCTGCAGCATGCTCATCCGAAATGTGTCTGTTAAATGTGAGATTTGACTGACTCCTGTTTGCGGTGAATGTGGACTCCTTGCTGGTCCCTCAAAAATTATGTCTCTGAATGTCAGGCATCTCATTAAACCACATCCAAAGATGGGCTCATTCTTCCCTCCTTTTAAGCCACAGCCGCTGAACTCGGTAGAGGGTGTACTGTACAACACCACCTACAGCATGAAGAAACACATTTCCCTCAGGTTCGGACACAACTAAAAACAAGTTTTACAGCTCATCTCGGTAGCAGGAAGTACGGCATTAGTCAGCCCAGATCATGATTTCTAAAAAATACACGGTTAGAGATTATTCCAACACGGGGTGAGTCTGGACAGACCCAGACGGACCAAGCCGCTGGAGGCCGGAAGGCTGGTCCACAGCACGGGCTCGCGGCGGTGCCTGGTGTGCTGTTGCCCGATGGGTGGGGCTGAGCCTTTCCTTTCCGCCGACCGCCCAACTCCACCAGGGGCCGCCCGCCCCGCTCTCCAGCGCGGTGTCTGGGAACCCTCGACCGGTGCCGAGGGATGCTCAGGCAGCGCTGTGTGTGCTTCTCCCGACAGTACGAGCTGCGGAGGTCCTCGGCGTGGAGGCAGGTGGCGGGCCAGTGGCAGACCTGGCTGGTTTCCGCAGCCGTCCTCGCCCTGCTGGCCCTGGTGCCCTTCGTGGTGTTCCGGATGATGACGGCGTTCCAGGACCCCCCTCCCCACTCCGTATTCAAGGCGGCGGCAATCTGTTTCGGGCTGCTTGCAGAGACGCTCCTAATTAAGTGAGTATTGTCAGGTGTCTTGTACTCAATTAACTCTTTTACTGCTAAAACACCTGGAAGGCACCCAGGGGACCCCTTCAACCTGTTGGAGAAAGGAGGCTCCAGAAATTAATTTAGGAGTCGTTACTTCGGTGTTACTAGGGGCTTGCACGTCTGCACTTGTCTAATTGCAGCGACTTCATTAAGCATCTGACCCTGTTCAGAGTCAGGGGAAAGGGACCTGCTCCATTGTCACGGCTGTAAGTGTGGGACACTCACGGTACCTGTGATGGTCAGATGTTAAAAAGGTGTGTGTGTGTTTTCTTAAGCCTATTCCCTACTGCCAGACTGAAGAAAACACCCCTCAACCCCTTCAGAAGTTAATGAAGGGAAAACAAATTGATGATGAGGGATAATAGCAATATGAGAAAAGTGGAGCTTTGACACTCTCTGGCACCATATGGCTCTGCAATTTGTCTGAGTATTTGTTTATATAGGAATCTGCACTCTCCAGTCTTCAGAGGGGCTTGATTAAGCTGAATTTGATTTTTTAAATCATTTTTAAACATTTCACCCCAGTGCAGTCTGAGACAAACCCCCCCGACACACACAAATACACACACGAACACACACATAAGCAAGCACACAGACACGCACCCTATCCTTCTGTCTGCTGTTCCTTCGCAAATTATTTGGGATGAAATAATGAAAACACCATGGGCAATATTAAAAACTCTTCACTCTCATTTATCCTAAGAAATGAAACCCAGTTTGAATCAATTACAGTCTGCGTCCCGTCTGCTTTGGCAATGTTTGTGTTGATCAAGGAGTCCCATTAAAGCAGTGACAGTGGGGACTGCAATGTGATTTCTGTGTGTCTCTTAAAACCTCTTTGCTTATTAAGGGCTCAGTAGCAATCAGCGAGCTACTCGAAGATAAGTGCACATGAAGAGAATTATTTTTGATTTTAAACACTCAGTGGCTGGAGCTTATACATCATCCTGTTTACTATATTTCCAGTCCCCACCCTCCGCCTGCAGGAGCTGTGCGGGTTCTGTTTATAGTCAATCCAGGCCAGTCGAAGGTTCTGATACATTACACAAACAGATGTGGTAAATGTATTATATAAAAGGAGCCTGTTTTTGATTGAAAGAGGTGTGCACAGTATTGGCATAATCAATCATGAGTAAAATTAAATGCTCTATTGATTTTTTTTCCCGTTTTGCCCACTGAAGTAATTTAATGTCTGTCACTTTTGAGCATACTTAATTTTTATTTTTAAATTGATAATACAGGCTAATTAAATGGATGTTAACGTAATAGAACACAAAGGCACTTATGCTCAATAAAATGTTTTGAAGGGGACAAAGCACAGACCCACACACAAGAAACACACTGATTGTCTGGTGGTCTTTCAAAATAAAACCTCCACTTCAATCTTCTCTTCAAACCATCTAGTTCTGAAACTGGTGAACTGCAGATCTCCTGATCCTTCTTTTAGATATTCCATTTTTAATTTTTGCAACCTGCCTATCAAGATTTTCCAACAGCCAGCATTTCTCTGATTGAAAATGTGCTAATTAGTTTATTAATGTGTTTATTAGAAACACTATTTAAAGCACTGAGCACAGCTTTTTGTGCAAATAAACTATCAGTCATATTAAAATGTCGTTTATTGGTTTATTTTTAATTTGAATCTTTTTGAAGTTGAAAGATTTAAAATTCTGTAGCCTAGGAAAAAAACAGCTAAGCTGGACTTACTCTGGGACATGCTGCAGAGCTTTCATATGGATGTGAAAACATAATTCTTATAGTGACACATAGACAGAGCTAAGATGAACAGTTGCTTTTTTCCTCAAGACCATATAATCTCAGGGTTTCTCTCAAGAGTGACTTCCAAAATGCCCAGCACTGCTGTCAGGGGAAAAGCGGATGTGATCGGCTAGCGGTGGAAGACTTGGGTGGGGTGAGGAGAAATTGCAGACCTGCATTTACAGTACAAATGACATTTACTTGCTAACATTATTTTTTTCCCACTTCAACAAAAAGCGTGGCTCTAAAATTAAAAAGGAATGTTGCCCGTGCGTTTGTTCCTGGGAAAGAGCATGAAATCGATGAAGTCTGTCCCTTGCAGAGGCAGCTCTGCACACTCAGCTCAGCCTGGGCCTCTCCCCTCCCCTGGCTCCCCGCCTCTCGGGGCTGCGCTGCTAAGCTCCACACACCTGGGGAGGAGGGGAGGGGAGGGGGCCTTGGGCGGGCCGCTGCTGGAGTCGGCAGCCATGCCTGGCTTGGCACCTAATGAACAGAATGTGCTAATAATGCACAAAAAAGTCGGAAAATTAAAAAACGCATAATATGCAATTAAATGCATCAGTACCTTACTTAAGTTGGTCGTTGTTCATTTCTGTGCATAATAATGACTCAATCTGGCTGTTTGCAAAGCCACAGAAAAGCACATTTAGTTTCAAAATCCAGAATTTAGATTCTGTTCTGGCAGCAGCGGGTGTTGAAACGACGGTCCTGCAAAATCAAAAGTTGTATTTTTGCTTGATTTTAAATGTTGGAATTATATCATGTTTAGAAAACACAGAAACTGTAATGTCTCCGGCTTGCCTTGAGAGACCACTTGTCCTTTTGTCATCAGCATACCTGTGCAGACCTTAAGTATCTGTTTAACTGATCCCAGAGGGCAGATCTATCTCTGGCAGACACTTCTTTCAATACTTATCAGCAGATAGCTGGGAGGCAATGTGAATACAGCTGAACTCCCTCCAGTGCCTTAGGATGAGTGGAAGAATGTATCTGGCTGGAGCCTGACAGGTGACTTGAATGGTTTTATTGTGCAATGAAGACTGAAGCTGGGAGTTTTAAGAATGGTCACAGCTCTGCTTGTTGTAGCACACAAGAACTCCACTGTTACATCAGTGTGTTAACTGGGCTTCACACTCCCCAATCCCCCCTCCTGCGTGCTGTGTCCTCCTCTGTGACTGTGCAAGTGACTTGGTCAACCACAGGCAAGGCTGGCGCTGTGTGAGCTGAGCAGCAGTGTTAAAGGTATTCGGCAATCGCTGCTAAACCAGAGCCCTCTTCCATTGTGTATAGAAAGTTAGAGCTTCTGGGAAAGCACCCAGATGCTCCAACATCCCAACTGTGTGTTTAGAAAAATATAAGAGGGGTTAAAAATGAGAGGTTGTGGTAGCTCTGTAGTAGATACGTGAGCCCAGGATGTTTCCTGAAGAAAGAGAAAGCTGTGACAGCCTGTCTGGGTAGCTTGCTCTGTACTCTCACGGCAATGTAGTGTCTAAATCTTTTTGAATTCCCTTTACTTTGTCTGCAGTATTTGCAGTATTTCCCCCGATTGTGTGTCATCTTCAAATCCCTCAAGTGTAGTAGCTGAACCAGAGCCAAAGTCAGTGATGTAGATCAGGAAGAGTGAATGTCCTAATACAGATCTAGATACAGATGTACTGCAGCAATACTGCTTTGCCTAACCCATGCTCACAACACTGAAATTTCATCTGAAGCTCTACATGCTCTATATTAAGGTTTTTCAGTCCATTCTTTGAAATCTATAATAAATCCCATACACAGTAGGTTTTGTGTTCTTCTTTTTTGATCCATCATTTTATCATTATTATTACCTCCTCATTTGTTATGCTTTTGGAAGTAAGCAATGCCCCATTCAAACAGTAGAAATGAGAACTTGTGTTTTTTAGCGGTCCATTCAATAATTTGATGAATTGATCCATTGACGAGTTGATTGATTGAGTAGAGAAAAACACTCATATGCCATCCATTCGATTACAACTACTGTGCAAGAAAACCCAGTCACCTTCAAGTGGGAAACCAGGACTACTGTACGTGACCACATCCAACAACAGTACTGAGCCCACTGGTTTGTGGTCCTCTATTGTGCCCTGTGATGGACTGGTGTCCTGTCCAGGGTGTTGTCCTGTATTGTGCCCTGTGATGGACTGGTGTCCTGTCCAGGGTGTTGTCCTGTATTGTGTCCTGTGATGGACTGGTGTCCTGTCCAGGGTTCTGTCCTGCCTTGTGATGAACTGCAAGAGACAGACAAATACGTTTTTTGTCTCCATGGCTTCTATCCACCGTGCAGTAGGGCACAGCGGAAACACACACCACACGTGCGGCAGAGTGCACCTGTGCCTGCTCCTCGTGGCCAGACAGAGTCTCCTGTAGAGGTTGGGCTGGACTGCATGGGCTTGAGTCTGCAACAGTAAATCAGCTGGTCTGCAGGGGCTGTCATTGGGAGAAGATGGCTATGGTAGATGAGGAATGCCCATTAGTCTGGTGATAAGTCAGACATATTTACTGTCATTCACTTCATACTTCAATCAGCTGAGACAACCTTACTCATCCCAAAGGCCTGTAGAAAAGCACTGCTATCTAATCTCAAACACAGGTCTGCAAAAGAAGTGAGCTGCTAACATGAAATGTAAAGACCATAGACAGAGTATTCAGGCTGACGTAATTTTCCCGTTAAGAGTTTAGCACAAAGCATAGTAATGTACTTGTTTAAGCCATGCCTCACTGGTAATTACTTTACATCTGTTGATTCTCAGCAGACAGCATCTGTGACAGAGTTGAGCACCAAGCCCCTTTAGCTCTGCAAGTGCCCACTTGTGTTTTTCTGTCATAAGGAAGGTTACAAACAAGAAGCCATTTGGCCCACTTGGGCCATTTCCATCAGTGTTATAAAGTGTATTTTCATGAGTGAAAACGGAAGGATTTGGCTGCAGCCAACAGGATAAAGGGTCAGCAAAAAAGGGAAAGTCGTGCTTTTGTGTCTCTCACACTCGCAGCCCTTGGCTTCCCTGGGGACGACAGAATGCTCTCAGACAGGGAAGGACTGGATCCTGGGAATGATCTGAAAAACCTCTCCTCCAAAACCAAAGGTGACTTTTTGAAATTTGCTTCTGAGGACTTTTTTTTAGAACTGCAGAAAAGGAAGCCTCTGCAGAGAGCTGTCCATCTTCCAAGCCACCCTCGGTTTCCATTGA